CATGTGGGGAGGAAATTCTCTAATCTCATCCCCTCTGTGGTGGGTCAGGCTGCAGATCCCTGTGGGTGAATGAACCAATGTCCCTGGGGCCTCTTCATTCTGTCAATTAACTATCAAGTTGTGAGTGTGTTGGGTATAGCCAGTGTTTAGTTCCCTGGTACTTCTTTTCTGGAGTTTACTCTTGAACAAATTGTTGCTGACTTCAGACTTTGAAGTGTTTCCTCAGTGATGAATCACATGGACCTTGTGCCCTATTCTGGATTTTCTCCCTCTCCCCTCCACACATCATATAGCTGAACCCTGGGCTGTCATCCTATCTCATATCTCCTCCAGTCAGACTATTAGTCCTCTGTTCTTGCTCAAGGACTCCTGTACTCCTGTCCTTCTTTCTCCCAGGGGACAACCTGTCCAGCTAGTGTCTGTGTGTCCATCCCCCACCCACCTCCAGGTATTGTCCCTCTCACCTGCCAGCAGGAGCCCCTGCCAGGGGACTTGCCCTCTGTGTCCATGGGATGAGGGGGCCTCCATGGCATCTGCTGTCTGCTCTGAGCTCCCTGTGAGAGAAGAGCTGGGGCTCCAAAAAGGCTCACAGGCACGGCTGCTCCTGAGTGTCAGCGCTGAGGTGCTTCCTCCTTTGTGCTGAGCCTCCTCCTGGACACAGGGCTTTTGAGGATCTTGTAGTCTAGGGGTGGGGTCTCTGCCCAGGACCCTCCCTCTGCCCTGCCCTCATCCTGCCTCCCTTGTTCTCTTTTCCTCCACTTTAGTCTGCATGGAAAATAGAAGTGCTGAGATGCCTGCCCTCCACAGCTGTGACACACACACACACACACACACACACACACACACACACACACACACAGTTATGAAATTGCCAGAAGTCTTGACAACTTTAAAAGCTTGATTGAAGTCTGGATAAAGGTAAACATTAAGCAACCAACTATATTTCAAATAAATTCATAAAAATTTTGGGCCTCCCCAGTTATGTAGCGGTTGAGCACTGGGTTGCGAGGCTGCCTGCGGCCTCTGTAGCACCGGTTCGATCCCCAGCTGCCGGGTGAGGGTCCCACATGGCTCGCAGACCTCTCCTGCCGCCCGCTGCTCCCCTCAGCAGTGTACTTCGTCAGTCTGCCTGCTCTGCTTTCCACTCTGGCTCTGGTGAATTCTCTCACCCTCCTGCACTTCTGACTGTACCCAGTGCTTGTATAAATAAATAAATAAATCTTTAAAAAAATTTTACTTATCATAATTAGGTCATTAAGTGTTTTGTAGTGAATTCTTGGTTCTCATTTACTAGAATCCATTTTTCTATGAGTTGTAGAAGTCTTAAATTTTTAACGAGACATTTTTGTGTTATTTGTCAAATTATTTTTGTTAAACACCAAAAATTGTTAATGACCATAGTTGAAAGGTGATGTAATTTATTGTGAGTACAACTTTGATCTTGGGTTTAGGCTATTTTTGTGACACTGTGACACTAACTTAACATAAGATTTTAATTACAAGTTATAGTATTACAGCAGTGTAGTTTATGCTTCTAAAGTGTCATGTCATGTACAGCATTAGCATTGATTATGTATCCACCTAAATATAAGTAAAGAAAGTTGCATCTCTTCTAATTCTATACATGTTGTTCACTATACATAAAGTCTAAAGAGATTCTATTTTATGTATTATATGTACAGTCTGCACAGGAATTCACACATGTTACTTTAAAACTATTCGAATCACAATTTTTATTCTGCTTGTTCAGATTTACAAAGTAAACTAATTTTTCATTAAAATACTACTACTCAAGAACAGGTAAATTTCTTTATCCAGGAATAGTTTCTTATTATAGTTTCTTATTCTTTATCCAGGAATAATTTTTCGGTCACTAAATTGAATTCTTTACTATTTTTAGTAGATTTAAGTACACATATTAATGGAAATTCTTAATTCCAAGATCAGGATCTGTGACTTACATGAGACTCCCAGGGCTGGGAAGGTATGAATGCAGCTTCTCAGTCTAGGCGTGTGTGTGGCTGACATAGAGGGCAGTGGTCAAGGGCCCAAGACATATCTGTTATTAGCTAATTTTCTTTCATTTCTCTGCAATTAATAATTAATAAATAATAAGCAATCACCAAGTTATTATCAATTATTACAGTTATTACAAATATTAGTAAGTAATTAATAAGTAATTAACAGGTAATTGAGAATGCTTCCTTAGTTTTTTATTATTTGCATAAGTTATAGATATCTAATGAATTACAATTATTTGATTTAGTGATCAGAACTCTAATGTTGCAAGCTATCCAAAATATTTGAGGGTCTAACAAAACTACTGTCAGAAAGCTCATCCAGGCACTCTGACCCCATTCTGTATATTCACCATTTGCAGTAATAAATGTGCTTTTCAAGGGGTTACCAGGCTGGTTCACCTGACTGAGAATCTGTAGAAGGAGGAGCTACTATTCTGTTGCTGGGAGGGTAAAAACTGCATTAAGTGTTAAGTCTGGAAGTGACAAAGGGTCAGCACCATCCTCTCCACTTGGTGCCTGTTGTCTCTCTTGTTACCCACCAATGCTTCCTGAGCCTGAGTCTCATTACTGTTAGGTGTATCTCATGTTGACAAATTTTGAAACGCGAGATAAATGTTTTATACTTGAGATAACGTGAGCTCTATTTATTCACAACTCATTTAGAAAAGGTGACATGTCTGTGTATCACCAAACCTGGTAATGTGGAAGACGTGCCTATTTCAGTCAGTCCAACAAAATTACATGCTTTAATTTGTCAAATATTTCCCAGATTATGCTGACTGCAAAAAAAAACCAACCAAACAACAACAACAACAAAAAAAAACAACTGGGTTAATTTTGGTGAACATCTGAAGCACTGAAGGTTTAGAAATTAATATTATTAAGTGATAAAATGAAAAGCCCTCAGTGTTGCTGGCACCCCACAGTGGTGAACATGGCATGGGCATATGTGACATGCTCAGGGAGTCCACACATGAGCAGACCTGTGGGCCCTGAGATCTATGCTTCTCGTTAGTTTATAGACAAGGGGCCAGGGAAGTGCAAGATCTCAGGGGTCACCTAAGAGCACCCAGGTCCTGTGACAGGTAACCCCACGAGGCCTCAGACCTGTCCTGGGCAAGCAAGAGAGAGCCCCTCAGGTGCATTTGTGTCCCAAAATGGGGCCTGTGTCTGGGTCACCAGGGGGAGGGGTCGCTTACCTGGCCACTATCCCACAGCAGCTGCTCATGAGGAAAACTAAAGAATGTTTCTGCACTTTTCCTTTCTCCGAAGAGCATCTTCCGGAGACTGGCCTTTCAAAGCCAGATGGTTGAGAGGAGAGAATATTGAGATGTAGGAGATATAAAAGGCTGTCTGTGTCCTCTAGATGCATTACAGATTTTTCAAAATGGAAAGTATTTTTTTCCCCTGGGGAAATAACTTAGGAGACAAAGACATAAAAGTGATGTTTTCAGGACCTTATGTCCCTTTTGAATTTGTACAGGTTGGGCCATCCAGTTATTATTCAAAAATTCTTTATTTATTTTTATTTTCTTACATCATTATTCATTTTTGTACAATATCTGATTTCACCCCTCAGGTGTAACCACCATAAATCTCCCACCACCACATCACACGTGAACCATCGCCATAGTCCCTTGTGCTCTTACCTCCTCTTTTTTGACCGTTCTCGCCTGCCCCCTGCTGTATGTCTGGGATCTATAGTTTGCCTGCTAGTTTTGTCTTTTAATTTTTATGACCTTTTGTTTGGTTTCCCTTAATTTCTCCTGTAAGTGAAACCATCCGATATTTTTCCTTTTTCTTTCTATCTTATTTCACTGAGCATAATCCCTTCCAGCTCCATCCAAGTTGCTGCAAATGGCATGAGATTATCTTTTTTGATTGCTGAATAGTATTCCACTATGTATATATACCACATCTTCTTGATCGAGTCATCTGTTTTGGGGCATTTAGATTGTTTTTATATCGTAGCTATTAAAATAATGTGATGAACATAGCAGTGCAGTTTCCTTTCAAATGAATGTTTTTATTCAAAAACCTTTAAATATTTTTGTCATTTTGCAAGAATGGAAAGTAACACTTTCCGGTCATATGAGCAATTCCAAGGACTAACAGGGTTTCACAAAAAGGAATCAAAAGATTATCTTTCTCAAGATCCAAAGCAAGTCTTACAAATAGTCAGAGAATAAAGACAGAATATACCTGAGTACAGACATAGAGCCTGGCAGGTCCAGTTGGTCATGACCCAGCCAACGAGACTTAGAAAGAATGTGGTCATTTGGGACAACAGGGTGGACAAGAGTGAGTTATGCTAAGGGATAGACTTCAAAAAGAACAGGGTAAAGACCACAAAATTTCCACTGCATAATTAATGTAGAGAAAGAAAAAAAACCCAAAAAACCAGCAACAAAGAAATGAAGTTCACCTCAGAGCAAGATGGTGGTGCCCAGAGTGCAGGAGGCTGAAGGGGGCGGTGAAAAGAGTAAAGGGGCCCCTATGGATGGTGGATGGAAGTTAGACTTTTACTGGTGATGGCGCTTTGTCTGCAAGCTCTCAAGGGTATTACTTTGCACCTGCCATGTATATGATGTTATGAATCAATTTATTAAGTCATAATGTCATTGGGTATTGACTTCTTAGCAGACATGTGGGAAGAACCCTAAGATGGGGACAGGGTGGTTAAAGACTAAAAGTTTCAGGAAAAGTCGCAGAACCTGCCATCCTAATAAGTCACGTCAGCAGGAGGAAATTTTGAGCTAAAGGTGCCTGAAAAACAGCAGAAACTTAAGACCTTGTGACTCTCCTCTTCTTTGATCCTAAAAGTAGGGACTTGATTCCCCTGTGACACTGCCTCCGGACCAGAAGACAAAGAATGTCCTCGTCATCCAGGCCTGGAAATGGAATAAGGAGCTTTCACCTGCTGCAGCTTCCTGGGTGATCTGGTGATATTCTAACACTTGCTCTCCTTGTTCTCCCTAGAGTGACTATTTCACTGTGGCTACTCTGTGACCTCCATTTTCACAAGAGGCTCCTTTGACATAACTCACAGCTGTGCTTCTCTCATTTCATCTTTGCTTTGGACCCCAGCCCTGACCTGTGATGGTAAGTGCAAAGAAAATCTTCCATTCCAGTCATTTTCTAATACTTATTTTAAATGACACAAGGAGATGGACTTTTATTTATAATTCACAGATTTTATTCTTTCATTATATGACTTATGTATGTTAATTTTATTTATGTCCTGAAAACCTTGGATCAAGATTGTAAAGACAGTTCCCTAAAGTCAGCACGAGGGGGCTCTCTGGCCCAGGAAGGAAAAGTTGCAGGTACTCCTCCATGGAAGTGAGGATGTCCCAGGAGATTCAGACTGTAGCCCCCTGAGATTAGGACTGATGCAGTGTTCTGGGGGATGGTGATTCCCACATGGAGGGACATCTGGTCCTGCATGTCCATTGCTATGGTGGGAAACAGCCCAGGAGGTCCCACCCTGCCGAAGACTCAACTCCCGATTATAATGTGGCCTTTAGCAGATGCCATGCAGGTGTGTGAGGAAGGCTGGTCTGTGAGATATGGCTGGAACTTACCTAGAGCCTCTCCCTTCCTCTGGGTTGCCCCAGGGTTTCAGCCTGAAACCTGGATTCTCCAAACTCTCCTCCTCCCCTATCTGAGCAGAAGCGCCAGCAGACAGCACTCTGTGAAGTGCATGTCTGTCATGTTTTCATGCGCACAGGGGATAATCTATTCCCGGGGTCCTCATTAGTGTCCAGATATCCCCCACATTCCTGGAGGAGGGATAGAGCTGTGATGCTGACAGCTTCTCATGTGCCCCCACCATTTTTGTCACATGACCTGGGCCTGTCCTCTGAGGGATAGGGTGTCCCCTCCCCTGTGGGATGGCACAACTGTGACCAGAGAAGGCGCCCTCTGCTGAGCTGTGACATTCACTGCACAAGGAGTTTCAGTTGCATGTTTGTGCTTTATTGACTCAATACAAGTCTTCTAGGGCTTTCCATCCCCATCACTGTGTTTTCCCAATAGGTCAGGAAACAGCTTTTCAGGCAACAACATTTTGATTTAGAATTTAACGACTGATATAAGGGAAGAAGTGTACCTCTAGACCACTTCAAGTCTCAGGGGTTCACTTTCTCTAGCATTTGAGATTTGCAGGTACTTGCACTGGTATTGCCCAGCATCCTCCTTCTTGATGAGGTCTATGCTGAGCATGGCGCGGTCGTTGGACAACATACTGTTGTTTCTGCGTGGCAGTTTGCGGCCGTTGTAAATCCAGAAGACTCTGTAATCAGGTTCGGGTTTCAGACACAGGATGCCCACATCCTCATTTTCGTGGACTGTGGATTTGCTTTCATGGGCATAATTAATTTTTAATGGTTCTGTGGAGAAATAGAGCAGGTGACAAACTGAGAGGGGACCTGGCCTGGGGCCACCCTCCCTCCTCATGACTCAGCACTCACAGTTCACAATGCATCTGTCTGTCTCCACATGGTGACAGTGACTTGTGCAGCAGGTGGAGTGACCTTGTCATCAGACTAGAGCAGAAGGCACCACACACACTCCACACCCGCCGTGCTCCTCAAATTAGTGGACAGCAACCTAGCAGGTTCCTGGATCTCTTGTTAGTATCAGTACAGGCTGCTTTCCTCACATGTCCACCACCCTCTTAGGGGCGATGACAGTGATGGTCCGTGGATATTCACGTGACCTTGTCCTAGAGCTTCATGGGACTAATGCAACAGGTGCCACCCTCCTCTGTAGACTTGAGGGATTGCTCAAGGATTCAGTGGCTGATTATGTTAAAACGAGAACTTCAGTACAGTTCCACAGATTCAATACAATCCTTACCAAAACTCATTGACCTGCTATGCAGAATTAGACGTCCTAAAGCTATCTCAATACACTCCAAAGAGCTAACAGTGGTTTTACAAAATAACATTGCAGAACTTAGATGATGTTATTGAAATCCTATGATGAAGTGCACCAGTCAGCATAGACCCAGGAGAGTCTAGTCAAATTGTTTGAACAAAGGGCCATAACCACTCTCAGGGATCAATCTCTCCTTATTGGTGTTGGGAACCTGGATATCACATGCAAATAAATGAAGTAAATAGGTCATCATTGATCAGTTTTCTATGTGTAAGAATCACAAAAAGAAGAGAGTTAATAGGAATATCAAGGATTGGATGTAAATCATAGAATTAATAAGGGACTAATACCCAGAACGTAGAGAGATGTCCTGAAATTCACATGAAAGAAGCGCTGGACTTTCAAGGTCCTTTCTCCTTTTCCAGCTGTAATTTCTCTCCCATATTTGGGGTTTACTAGAGCTGAAAGAAACCCCTCCCCACACTCCATGCTGGACCCCAGGCTCACCATGAAAACCAGAGGAACAAGGTGAGGAGGAGAACCCAGGATGTGGAATGTGACTGAAGGCTTCTGTTAAAAGGACAAAGAATCAAAGGATAGAGACACATCTCTGCTCCACAAGAGAGAAATGGCTCTAATCTGTTGTGTCAGTTCATTTAGGGCGGAGTCCCTGTCACTGGCTCTGTGGACAGTCAGGAATGGGGAGGAGACCCCATGGCCTGTGATGGGCTTGCTTCTAGCCTGTTGTCTTTGGAATCACAGCTAGATTTGATCAAGTCCTGCCATTGGGCAATGTTTGAGGGAAAGGACAGTGGCTGAGGGAGGTCAGTATCTAGAGCACCCACATGAAGGTGTCCTCATGAGGTGCAGCCAGCGTGAGACACAGGCCGGCAGAGAGGACTGGGGAGGACCCCACCCTGGGGAGGTCTTGGGGCCACTGGAGAGAATGGAGCTTCAAGCCCTGACAGGAAGGAGTCAGGAGTGAAGGGGGAGGGATAGCCCAAAGCCCCAGAGCAGGGCCAGAGCAGCCTGACACCCCCACTTCCCAGCAGCCCTGCAGTCACCAGGACATGGGTTCCCAGGGCGCTGTGGGGAAGGAGGTCAGAGGATGGACATGGTCCCAGTCCTGGGGAGGCAGAACAGAGTGGCCAGAGCCTCTCAGGACTCTGCATGCAGGGCCCGTCTCTGAGGGAATGAGAATCTCTCATTCTTCACTCTCCACTCCGTCCTCTCTCCTATAGATAAGAGCATCTGAGATTTGTTCCCTGTGGTCCTGGCTTTTTGCAGATGGAGTGTGGGGATTGCGAATTCCTTTCCTTTCCTTTCCTTTCCTTCCCTTCCTTTATTTCATCCTTTATTCATTTCCTTTGTTTCCCAGTGGAATGACCCTCACACATCAGGACAGTGTTAGTGATTTAAAGTCCAGTGCAGGGAGGTGTGTATGGGCAACCAGAGAGGGAAGCCTGGGCATCCCCTGCACTGACTCTGATAGTTGCTGCAGGGTATTTACTCCAGAGTCAACATGGATGAAGTTCTATTCTCTCTACCCCTATGCCAGACTCTGCCCTGGGAGCTGGATTCCCTTAGGACAATGGATCTTGAACAATAAATAGCTGGCGTCAGGGAGCCTAGATAAGCCCAAGGTGAAGGGGGCAGGGCAGTGACTATAGATGATCTTGGGGTGACTTTGATGGGGGATTGTGATCTCAGTAACTCTGACTCGGTGTGTCCCTCCTGGACCTTAGTGAGTTTCAATTCAGTGAATAATAAATATTATAGGCTCCTGCTGTCTGTGAATGACTAGAGCTTGTACAGGGCAACTGTCCAGTGAATGGCATCTGTCATCACTTGTCTCCTTCAGAGGCTTCCAGGTGGTCCCTGGTGGACGAGCACCTGCCAGGGTCAGTTTTCCCCCTGTCTCTGCCTGGGTACACTGAATGTCCTCTTATAACTCCACAACCCCCTTGGCTGGTGGCAAATGGCCTCTGATGTTGTCTTGTCTCCACACTGTGAGACAAAGCCCAGGCTCTGGCCTGTTCCCCTGTGGCCTTTGGGGCTGAGCCCTGGTTGGTGAGTCAGTGCTGCCATCAGCCCTGCCCAGGAGGCCAACACCACAGGGGTGCAGGCTCCCTGGTCCCTGGGTCTGGGTTCCTAGGGCAGCAATTGGGTCAGGCTTGATAGGGGTGAGCTTCTCCATGAGAATCCCAGGTTTCCCTCATCCCAGCTCTTCAGAGTCTTTCTAAGGTTATAGCCTTGTGGAGTCGTCCAGGGGGCCACCCAATCTGTGATCCCCTTCTGCTGATTGACTCCCCTGGATGTGTCCTTCCCTTTGCATGGAGAGTCTGCAGGGGCTGGACCCCAGGAGAGGAGTCTGATTTCTCCAGTTTGTCTCTTTGTATGTGCCCTGCACTAAATGCTGAAATCCCGTCACAGACACAAGCAGAGGGGGATGGAGGCAGGTCCAGGCCTGCCCATCCCTGTGTGTGCAGTAAATTCACCACCTGCACCCTGAGGACAGGGAGGGACCACTTACCTAGGACGAAGAGATGTGTAGATACTTTAACCTTTTCATTATTTGTCTTTATGGTTTCCACCGTGTAATATCCTGTGTCTTCCGCGGTGACGTTCCGGATCTTCAGCGTAGCCCCTGGGTGTAAGATCTTTTGCCCTTTGTATGCAGGACCTGGCATCATTTTTCCCGTTTTTGCTATATATGATGCGATTTGGTTATTCGCATTCATGGGGTCACCTTTGAACCAGACATAGCGGTCAACGTGGCTTGGAGGCTGGTCAATCTGGAGTGTCACAGAAGGTGTTTTGAAAAATTCCTTGTGCCTGGATTCAATGACTAACCCGCCATGTGTGGGTGGGACCCAGAAGATGCAGAGTGAAACTAGGAGGGAAGTGAGAGAAATTAGTCAATATTTGCATCTGTATGTTGGGATTGAAAGGCAAGTTCTTTAACCCTCAGATGTATTCTCTGTGTGTGTTCTATATGTTAATGGTCAGCAGCATGAACACTTTTTTCAGTATGTCCCATCATTTATTGCTCTCTTGTAAATTCTTTTACCCAGTTGTGTGCCAGGCTCATAGCACCCTGCCTTCAGACCCCTGTCACCCTGGGGCATCCTTGGGATATGCCTCCCTGACCCCCTGCCATGCAGACCCTCTGCCCTCACTGTGTGATCTTTCCCTGCTCTGTATCCTCATGACAACTGTCA